CGATGCTCCGCCCCCGGGGGTCGACCACCGCCCGGAGATGGGGTCGTTGGGCAGCGGGGCCAGGCCCCGGGTGGCGGGAGGCTGGGCCCTGGAAAGAGACGTGTGCGGTCATGGCTGCCAAGCGGAGCCAGCAACGGGGGCAAAGGAGAGGTCATTGGGCTACTGCGCGCGGGGTGAGGCCCAGTGTGGACGCCTCCAGGGAGCCTCACGGCAGGCAAGAGAGAAGGCTCTGGAAGGAGGGCAGGCGACAGGGGCACAGGGAAGGTAGCGGGGCAGGGCTTAGGCCTAACGGGCGCTCCCCTCCCGGTGCCCGGCGCTGGGAGGAGCTGGCCTGCGAGGACCGTCAACTCACCCGGAGTGGGAGGAGCGCCACGCCCTGTGCCGGCTGCGGGTTCTCACCCCCGGAGCCCGCCGCTGTTCCCGCCCCCAAGAAGCCCCTCCCAGCCGATGCCCCTCCCTGGCGGCCGAAGGGCCCGGCCCTTTGGGTGCAGATCCCAGGGACCCAGCCAGATGTGGCCACTGCCTCCCCAGGAGCAGGTACAGGTGCTGGGGTGCAGGAGCCGAGCCCTGTGCCTGCTCTCTGAACTATGGCCCAAGGGGGGACAGCGCAGGCGAGGCTAGCGTGCGACCTTCAGGTTGACTCCGCTGTTCTCCATTACTGTGTAACATCGCCACTTACTCCTCTCTCCCCGTCCATGGGGCATGCCCGGCTCAGCTGGGCTGCTGTCCCCGGGTTGCTGTGCAGCGGGGACCAGGGCAGTGGGGCTGGCGCCTTCTGCAGGCTCAGTGGGGGCGCGTCCAGCAGGGCGTCCTCCCCCGGCTCTGGTGCCTCCAGTGCGTGGCCGGAGCAGCAGGGGCAGCTGGCCGTGTCGCCACGTGTGGCCTCTCCGTGTGGCTGAAGTCAGCTGCCCCACGGCACAGTGGTCTCACAGCGGGTTCTTCCATGGCACCAGGCCCGACTCCCCACGACCCAGCCTCGGACATCAAACAGCAGTATTTCCGCCATGCCCCGTGAGTCGCAGAGAAGGTCCTGGGCCACCCCAGGTTTTGCGAGACTTCACAAGGATGGAAGCCCTAGAAGGCACATCCATGGGGGTCGTCATCGGAGACTAGCCATCGGCGCCCCTACTTTGTGGGAGACCGTGCTTCCCAGCCTTGCCCTGGCCACCCAGTGCTCTGGGGGCTGGAGAGACCACCCACCAGAGAGCCTGTCCCAGAAGCTGGCCCCGCCCCACCCAACGGCCAGGCAGGCCTCTTCCTCCAGACACTCAGGGCCCAGGGGTGCCCCCTCCCTAGCGCACAGGCCACTTCCTGCCTGTGGCTGTGTGGAAAGCGAGGACTAATCACAGAGCTTGCACAGCAGCGGCCCGGCCTGGGGTGCACAGAGGCCCGCCAGGCAGCGTCTCCCCGAGCATCACTCCCCTGGTGATGCAAGCTGAGGGGCAGGCGGTGCGGGTGGCGGGATTTATGTGGGGAACAGCTGGCAGGTCCTCACAGAGTCCGGCATGGAATCACACGTGACCCCGCAAACCCACTGCTCCACGTACCCCAAGGAATGGGGGACGCACTCGAGCACATTGTCCCAGCAGCCTGAACCCCATGCCCGTCAACACGCGATGGGCACACAGATGGGGTCCGGCCGGATGACAAGAGGGAATGGCGCTCCGACGCCTGCCACAGCCCGGAGGAACCTCGATGTCACGCTGCAGGAAAGAGGTGGACACAGAAGGTCGCAGGTCTCAAGACTTACGCAAAATGTCCCAAACAGGTATGTCTGTCCGTGGAGACGGGAAGCAGGTGGGGTGCTGCCGGGGCCCAGGGGTGGGCCACTTAGAGGGTCGGGCTCCCTCTCGGGGCGATGAGAACGTTCTGGACTGAGGCAGAGGAGGTGGCCCCATGCTGCGGTGCACGTGCTGAATGGCACTGTGTGCAGAAAGGTCAGTGTTAGGGGCTTCAGTTCAGTTAGACACATGCTTCAGAGACCGTCCTGGAGCGTCCAATCTCGGCCCTGGCGCCCAGCCCATTCCCCACACCCCTGGGGCCCTTCCCATGGGCCAGGACCAGGCCACTGCGGCCTCACCGCGCGCCCAGGGACAACGGTGGGGGTGGGCGGGGGAAGCCCTGGCGCCCAGCCCCGCCCCCACACCCCTGGGGCCCTTCCCATGTGCCAGGACCAGGCCACTGCGGCCTCACTGCGCGCCCAGGGACAACGGTGGGGGTGGGCGGGGGGTGGGTGGGCGGCGAGTTTCTCCATTGAGGCATGAATCTGGCCACATTTCTGGCGTGTCCAGTGTGTGCCAGGTGGGAGAGGGGCTGCAAGACCCCTGAAGCCACCACTGGATTTGGGACTGTGGGGGTCTCAGAGACCCTTCAGAGCTGCGTGTGCCAAGCAGGTAGGCTCAGCGGCCGTGGCCACCTGGTGTCAGTGCTGTGGAAAGAAGCCACCGCAAACTTGGTGGCCGAACACTGCACGGATTCCCTGTCTTCTGGCTCTGGGGCAGGAGTCCAGCGCGGCCCGGCGGCGGCCCTCCTGCAGCCTCGGCATCCGTCTGGCTTTTTCCAGCCGCCAGGGGCACCCACACGCCTCGGCCCGCGGCCCCTTCCTCGTCCTCACATCCGGCCGCTGACCTTCCCCCTCACACCTGCTCCCTGACTCCTTCCTGCTGTTCCGTCTCTGCCCCTCTCCTTCTCATGAGGACCTGGTGATGACTCGGGGCACACCCCACGATGCAGCATCACCCCCATCTCAGGGTCCTCCACTTAGTCGCGTCTGCCGAAGGTTCTTGGGATCAGGGCGTGGACTCGGGGAGCACACCGGCAGATCCCGTCCGTGTCAGGAAGGGGGTCTTCGCAGGGCAGGGCAGGTGCTGGAAGCACACGGGGGCTCTTGCTGGCGGCCGCCGCCTTCGGCTGTGTCAGGGGGGCGAGGATGCAGTGGGCGGGGACGGCGGCTGCGTGGGGTCCCACGGGACAGGTGGCTGGGAGCCCAGGGGGCAGGGTGAGCGGGCCGCAGCGGCCCTGGGCAGGTGCACAGGTGGATGCTGGCTTCCTCCCCGGCTCAGCCTTTTCCCAGAGGGAGTGACCGGCAGTCACAGGCCCAGAGGGGTGGGCACCTGGCCAGGGAGTTTCCGACGGGAAAGACCCAGGGATGGAAGGCAGCGACAGCCCTTTGTGGCTTTCAGGCTCCCTTTTCTGTCCCAGTGCTCTTGGCCGACCCCTTCCCCGGAAGCTCCCGCCGGGCGGGGGCTGCTCCCAGTGAAGTCACTTCCTGCACAGTCGTCGACCCTCTCCTGGGTCTTCTGAACCTTCCTCACATTTGGGGGACACCCCCGAGCTAGGTTGTCCTTGGTTTGGACAAACTGCTACGCCGAGGGCCCTGGGAGGAGGGTGGCTGGGCAGAGCCGGGGTCGACATCTGGCTTCTACTCCCTGAGAGCAGGAGCTGCTCTGGGGCCAGCGGTGGACAGGGACACAGAATCTAGGGACGCCCAAGCCCCCACAGCCGGGGCATCGGGTGGGGCTGGGGGTGGGCACCTCTGCATTTGCCCCCCGAGGGCCCTCCCCCAGCCCTGCAGTGCAGGTCACGAGTGGGTCAGAGCAGACCCCCCGGGGGAGGCCGCATGGTCAGAGCGGACACCCTGGGGGAGGCCGCATGGTCAGAGCGGACACCCCGGGGGAGGCCAGCTGCCCCAGAGGTGCCATCTCGTGTCACACTCTAATCCCGAGGGCCGACGCATGGGCTCAGCTGTCCTGTAGACATCTCCCTTCTATTGCCCAGGGGCCACTTCCCCGGCTCCGTGCGCCAGGCCCTCCTCTTCCTTGGCGGACGCTCCTTTAACGGGGTGCATACTGCAGTAGTGTGTGGACACGGCGCGTGGAAGATGCGTGTCGGCCCCTCGCAATCTGAGGCGCCCTGATCAGCCTCGGCCCTGCTGCATCCTGGCCCTCGGCGGCACCCGCCTCCATCGCCTGGTCGGCTCACCTCCCATGTGGCCGCCTCACATCCCGGTCCCTTACAAGGGCCCCTTTGGGACCTAATTCATGTCGATCTGGAGGATGTCCCACTTGTACCAGAAGAGTGTGCAGCTTTCTGTTCACCGATTATCCGAACTGTCAGCCTCTGCTCACAGTTGTGGCGCTGCCCCCGCCCCGGGCGGCAGCGAGGCTGGGCCGGCCGCGGTCTGTCGCGGTGCATCTTCCGGGGCTGGCTCCAGCCGCACGGGTGTCCTGTGTTTCATCTGCTGCTCCCTGGATGGTGCCCCCTCTTCCTTCGCGATGCTTTCACGTTAAATCTCTTTTCTCGTTTATTAAAGCTCCCTTTCGGTTGAAGGTTCACTCTGTGTCCGGCTGTCTTAAGCGTGCGTCTGAGCGCACAGCATCGGTGCGGGCCCGCCCTCCACCGCACCGCACCCGGCACAGTGAGCTTCCCGCCTAGCCCAGCCTCGTCCCCCATGGCAGGGCCTCCCAGCACAGGGGGGCCATGCACACAAAGCCGAGCTGCGCTGGGGGCAGCAGGCAGCACCAGGCCCACGGGCAGGAGTCCCTGGCCAGGTCTGGAGGGCTGTGGGGGCGGGGGGGGGCATGCAGGGCGTGTTGGGTGGCCCTCCCGGGGAGCGGAGGGGAGCGTGAACGGTTGTGGGCTAGGGGGCCGGGGAGACCTGTGAGTGGCATGCCAAGCCGGGCCGTGACCTCGCTGGGGCCCCAGCACACTCAGCCCTCTGGGCGCCCCCTGTACGCCCCCTGGGCGCCTGCGGGTGGCTGGGGCCGGAGGACGCCCCACGCTCCCAGCCTCTAGGCGCCCCTGGGTCTCGAAGGGCAGCAGCCCGGCTGGGAGCCTTCAGCGCGCACGAGCCCATCGCAGACAGAGCCCGCCCGGAAGGCAGGAGCCCGGGGAACAATGACCTTCGTGTGGCAGACTTTCCCCTCAGTGGGAGAAAATAGCGTTTACTAGAATGGCAGTTTCCTGCATTTGTGCCTGTGCCTGAGCAGTGATTCACACAGACCTCCCCCGAAGAGGAGCTTCTGGCCGAGCCAGCCAGAGCTAGGGCCCCCGCAGCCCCACACCCCCGGGCTGGGCGGGGCCCACCCACCGCCCTCCGAGCCCGGCCCCGCTCCCACACTTCAGCTCGGCCCCCTCAGCTTGGATCCAGCCGAGGGCCTGAGCTGCATGGGCAGCAGCAGGGCTGGGAGGTGGCACGGGGGCTTCCTGGGGGGGGGCTCAGCTGG